CAGGAAAAAGCTGAAACTAATTAAGAGAAATTAAAAAAGTTCAACCAATTGACGCTGCGCTCTACGGCTCTCCAAGCCTGGGCTAGCTCTACACCACTCGGCCGATGGCAGCGCCAAGAGTGGGGAACAGCACGGGCACGATGGTCCCAGTGCTGAACCTCCAGAGCCCCCTGCACTCGGGCCCTGTAGATCTCAGGCGTCGCAGGTCTCAGTAAAGGGATGGAGGAGGCTCAGAGTCTCTCTTAGCTTCCCAGGAACAGGTTTATTGGTAGGAAAGGGAGAGGTGAGTGGGGAGAGGACTGGGACGATGAAACAGGAGAACAAGTGAGCCCCGAGCAGCTCCGTGCGTCGGGTTTTAACCAAGGGGAGGGTACAACTCAGGGACCAATCAGGGAGCACTTTGGGAGGAGTCAAAGGAGGGGTTCACAGAGCTTGGGACCAATGGGAAACATACGTGGGTGGGGCGGCAGTTACAAAACCAATCCTGTATCGAGCAGGGGATGAGAGGCATGGAAGGTACTGGAGGAAAGGGTAGGGTTTACAATGATGGGCAGGAAATGGGGGCCGTAAAGGGACGACTGATAGAAAAGGTTCAGGAATAAAGGGAGGGGTTTCCAAAATTGACAGAGGGGAAAGACCATGACATCATCGTGGGGGAACAACAGGAACCTACCAACAAACAGAATGCAACAAACAGAATGCAACAACCAATCTCTCCTTTACTGGCCAAAAGGCAGGAGGAAAGTAGTAATTCCAACAATGCCATTCTAAAACTGGTTCAAGAAGGAGGTGCAAAAAGGCCAAGATAAAAGACAGAGGAGGCTCTTTTCTCCAGGATGCTGTCCAGTTTATTCTTGGAATGAATTCCGGGGAAAAAAGAGACAGAGGGAGAAATGGCGGGGGTTTTTAAACTGGGAGGCCAAAGGGAGGGAGAAAGCAGGATTCCAACTTCAATGAAATGGAAGGGGAAGAGCGAGGGGAGGCATGCAACACCACACACCCAGGGATGAGCAACAGGGAAAAAACACTTCAGTGCAAACATAACGCCTGGCTTAGTGCAACACCACACTCAGTTCTTGCTCAGCAGAAGGTGGAATTAAAGACCTTTGGAACTGAAACATAAACAATGTTTCCTAATCAGTCTGCTGTAGTTTATCACTGTTTTTTTTAATAGATGGATTAAACTCTCCTTCTCCAAGTCACACTTCCTGCTCCCTGTCTTAGCAGGGACAGGAAACGTTTCTTTCTCCTCCTTCTGACAGATGGGAAATTTGCTATGTCTCACCTACACCTTACCTCAACATTCCTTTTTCAGGAGCCTAATCCTTTCATTTGTTCCTTCCAAAGTTTCCAAAGACGTTGGTTTCACCTCATTCCTGAGGGCAGCACCCAAAACTGCAAACATATTCCACATTAAGGTCTTCACAGTTAGTGGTGCACTAGAGAGATATATTGGAGTGATCTAGACACAAAAATTACACAAAATTATGGTTTTACACTCTTCCTCGGTAACATTGGTAGAAAATTTCAAAGCTTTTCAACTTTTTTCAAACTGAAGCTTTCAAAACATGGGACAGAAACAGCAATGTTATATTTTTAGGCCCAAGGCCTAGTCGTTCTCATTTTGTCCTTCTCAAGGTCGTTTAAGTCTTGAGACAACATGTATCTTCTAAACTACATCCTGTACCTCCATTTGAACACGGAACATCTGTAAAGGGGTGCATCTGCCTCGCAACAATGATTCTTTGCATTGCTTCTCATAATAACTTTCCAAATAGTTATAGTTTAGTTAGCAGGAATCAATTGCATTTACTATATTTTCACTTCCAGTAAGGATGAATTAGCCCACAGCCAGTAGTAACTAAACACCCTCATTGTTATTTTCTTTCTGTCTTTCTCTCTCTCCCTTTGTCTCTGACATGAACAGTTCAGTAAAACCCCACAAGTGGCTTTGCCATAGGGTGTCCTTTGCACCTTCACTCGGCCCCAGCCGCTCCTGATCATTTGAAGGAGCGGCTCAGAAGAAGGGGCAGCAATCCCCCAAGACCGGGGCTGCTCCAGGCCGCTCCCGGTGACTCGGGCTGTTGGAGGGGTGCCGGGGTGGTCTTTGTGACACAGGCACGGGGTGCTGGGGTGGCCTTTGTGACACAGGCACGGGTTGCCGGGGTGGCCTTTGTGACACAGGCACGGGGTGCCGGGGTGGCCTCTATGACACAGGCACGGTGCGTCAGGGCCCTCGGTGATGCGGGACCTTGTGATGCCCAAAGTCCATTGTGACATGGCAGAGCCCCAACCCAGGCTGGGGGTATATAAAGGGTTTGTGGGGCTCGGGTCAGTCCCGGGAGAGCGCTTTCCAGCGCCTCCCTGCGCCTTCCCTTCCCTTCCCTTCCCTTCCCTTCCCTTCCCTTCCCTTCCCTTCCCTTCCCTTCCTTCTCTCCTGTTGTGTCTATCAGGTTTTTTCGGGGGTGTTTTGGGCTCCACAGTTTGGAGCTGGTTGGTCG